TCAAGGCACAAAGTGCCCAGGACTTAAAGTCCATCACTGAGTTCAAGGTTATATTCATCAAATATTTCATTATTAAATGCAACTTCTGCTAGTTTATTTATTTTTTCAATACGATCATTTGAAAGTCTATCGTTTAATTTTTTCTGAAGTTTTTCATTTTCTAGTTCTGAAACTTTATTTGGATGATATTTAAACCCGTTAAATTCTTTTTCCTCAGTTTTGATCATTAATTTACAAAGAACTTTTGTGGTTGGAATTCGTTTAAACCATTTATCATTAATATTTGTTATAAATTCAATATCTGGAATTAATTCCCAAATTTTTGCATTTTCAATTAATTTATTATCAAATGCAAAAGCAATAGGTTTAATATTAAACTTACCTTTATAATATATACTTTCTACATAATCATCGAAATAAACATCTACTTGTTTAACATTTTCAAGAATTGGTGAAAGAACATCCATTAATTGATTGACGGTTACGAATCTTGATCCACTCATTTTCATACGAATTAAAAAAATAAATTATTCAAAAAATGTAAGACATGAATTTTTAAAGTTTATTTTTCATTCATGAATGATAATTATATCTGATTTCTTTTATTCTCTCGTACATACTAGATTTGAAGAATTCGGAACTTTTACCATAATCTCCTAAATGTTTTCTTATCCCTAACGTGTGCCAGTTATTATATGAAACTGAATAAACTTTATCTTTATCTTTACACCTTTCATCACTTCCAATATATTTATATCTCAGTTTTGATTTAGCATTTTCATATTCATTAACGTTTAATAATTCACAGTCTTCCTTTTTAAATAAATGTTTTATGTATTCAGGATTTAATACTCTACGTTTATATGCTCCTAACTTAGTTCTAAAGGTTTTTCTACAAAATTTAGGAATTCCATCCTCTTTAATGTCATCAATGATTTCCATTTCATTATTTTCAATTTCTTCTTCTCGTTTATGAGGTCTTTGATTATGACTCCATTGATTCCATGAAATTAAATATTCTTTATCATTATATTTATACCTCATTAGCTTATTTTGGCTTTCATATTCATTTAATAATTCACAATCTTCATTTTTAAATTGAAGTTTAACCCATTCAGGATTTAAACAATGTTTAATTAATCGCGGAATATCTGACATCATCTATATATAGCTTCTTTTATAAAAGATAAAAAATAAATTATTTTAAAATTAATGTTAATTTTTTAATGATTTATATTTTAATGCATCGTCTATATATAGATGTAACAAAAAAAGGTACACAATCCTTCCACATATACTACGTACACAACACTTCCACATATAATACTATGATTTATATTTTAATGTATCGTCTATATATAGATGTAACAAAAAAAGTCACACAACCCGCACTCATATACTACTAATTCCTCGATCTTGACATATTTATTATTTCCTCCGTTTTCCCTCACAAATATATTTAATTTTCTGAATAAGACGTATAATAAAATTAATATCTTAAAAACTAAAATACAAAATTAATGTTGGGTAATGACTAGATATAGTATGCACTTTTGAATTCATACATTTTTTGAAAAAATTGTATTTTCAAAAAAAGATGTTGTTTCAGTATGAACTTGAAGAGAAATTTTAAGGAAAATAGGTTTTGAACGCTTACATAGGGGTAAAATCAGACTTTATGAGGTATGTTGTATAATTATAGTTTGTGCTGTAATATGTCATGAGATCAGAATATGAAGGGAGTATATATGTGTTATTGTCACGTATATATATGTGAGATAGCTCAGTAGAGTCTGTAAAATAGTTTAGTAGAAGAAAAAGTTATATAAAGAACAAAAAATTAAAAATAAACATTATTAAGTGAAAACCAAAGTTTACCTATTTTATGTAAGGTTTTGTCTTTGTGGGTTGAGGTATATGACAAAAAAGATTGGATAATGCACTCTTGTCGGTCAAACTTCCGCGTTCAAGTTATCAATGCGGAACATTGTTCCATTCTGGGAGACATGCAGAGGCAATGTCTCCCAGAATGAGACACTGCGACCGACAGGAGTGCACAATACACTCTTGTCGGTCAAAGTTTTGCAATCACATTCTGATTGCAGAAGATTGTCTCATTCTGGGAGACATGCAGAGGCAATGTCTCCCGAAATGATACCGTCATACCAACACCAATTTATTCCTTCTTTCCATTGTCATACAATTCAATATTTTTATCAATCTTAATCAACTTTTTTTATTCTTCTTTAATTCAATTTATCTTTCTCCTAGAATATCTATTCCTTTAACAGACATAAAATCACTAATCGAGCTTTTTCAATACTCAAAATTTCATATAAATCTTTGTTATTTTTTCTCTCATCGCTTATTTTATTAAATATACATATTTCCTCTCACATATCCCTCTTCATATATATTGGATCTCAACACTCATCTATTAGAACAATATATTTTCGCTTAATCTCATATTATTCATTAACAATCTTTCATCTTCTTATTTCTAGTTAACCTACCAATATATATATAGAATATATGCCCAATTACATATTCAGATACATTAAATTCAAGAAATTCTTCTAATATTATTCTCCTATTCATAATAAAATCATATTTAGTCTCACATCACAATTCTATCAGTTCTCCAATATCATATCATATTGGTAACATCACATATATCTCTTATAATATCACTTAAATTTGTATTTTTTTATTAATTATATTTAATTAGTTCTACATTCTATTATTATAGAGGTTTGACAAACTCATCAATAGTTAAAATCAAAATCTATTCAGAACTTTGAATCTAATGAAAATTACATTTCGATATCTTTTTGCAAGCTTAATTTTTTGTATTATCTTAAAATACATTTAGTAATGTTATGTACGTATTGAATTCAAATTATAGCGCAGTAACATGCAACTCATCTTGAGATTCACATTTCATTTTCACAATTATTGCATATATACATCAATAACATATTGTACTCATATATCTACACGACTCTAAACTCAATGACATCAAATAATGCTTGTAATATTTAAAATAATTTTTGCATTTTTGATTCTCAGCTTAACTTCTATAAATGTCACCAAAACATTTCATTCCTACCAAGAAATAATATATTAGTAATTAAGCGTTTATTACCATTGTTACTCACATCATATTAATTCATTTTTGTAATTTTTTAAATAAATGACTGGAATCATAAACCCTATGTACCCATATCAACATGTTAAAATTTCAAAGTCTGAAACTTAGTATACATTGAGTTTCATGAAATCAGATAATCTCGTAGATTTCTTAAATATTATATATTGCTGGCCAATAATGATGCAGCATGATTCTCCATCATATCAGCATTCTAAACATATCTTTATTTTGTCAATTGGCATAAATTAAGGGTGCTTTTCAGGCGATAAATGGTATTTTAGATACCTGGGTAGGGGGTCATGAAAAAGTTGCAAAAGTCAAAAATTGAGGATAATTCAAACATATTATCTCAAAATAATATAACCGAATCTTTTATTGTTTGATTAAATAAAAAATGTTTTTGTTAGTTTATATCTGAATCCATGGTAAATCGTTGAAACAATTTTCAAAAAATATATTTGTAAATATTCTCAACAAAAACATAATGGAATCACCTTTAAAAGGAGAAATTGTGAGTTTTATGCATGAATGTATATAATTGTTGCTCATTATTGATTTCATTATCACTAAGATAAAGTAACTTTTTTCATTTTATAAGTGAAATGAGTCACTACAATTAAGTTGTGATTCCTTTTAAATGGGTCCTAAGGAAAGTTCATTTCTTGCTTCAGAAATAAATATTGCTGAATAATCAAAGTTTTTTGTTTTAAAAAATAGTTTTTATTTTAAATATGAAGAAGCGCAAAATAAGTTAAGGGTTTCGTTTTGCGAAAAAAACGTACAATACGCAATTTCGCTAAAAAAACATTTAGCTAGCAATTTCGACCTTTGACTCCACTCAAGACGTCACTTTTTTAATTTTGCGGTATCATATTTTTGGAAAATCTTTATGAATATTATATAAAAAGTCTCTTTAATATCTATATTTCATATTTTTATCGATTTTTAAAGTTTTTGCGAAAAGTATTCAATTATTTTTGCTATTTGGTCTGGTAAATGTCAGATTTGCGACATTTTCTGATATGATATTCAGATTCTACGTTGATAATAATGCTTATAGAACCCTCTTGCTATTGTGTCAAAATTGCGAAACCGATAGCAAAAATATCTCGCAATATCAAAATTGAGATATTGAGTGAATTATGCATTATAGAGATTAAAAATCTGATTTGTGAAAACATCTCATCAGTTTCTAGCTAATTCAAAAATCTTTACTATCTTATTCGATTAAAATGAAAAGGAAATAGTTTCATTATGCTTTAAATGACAGCCTTATAATATAATCATAGTTTTCGCTCAATATGCAGCTTTTTTTTTTCGAAATCTATGGTCAATATCCTAAATACTGATTGCTTTGCATTCATATCTCTTACATTTTCTATACCCACATCACTATTCATTGCTATTCCTATCTTTTTCATTTTTCTTTGTTTCTCATAATTTCTCAAAAAATACGATAACTTGATATTTGTAAATATCATACTTTATAACGTAAATAAGAACTTGACCTATTAAGAAAAGCAGTAATGAAAAGAAAATCTGAAATTCATAAAAATTACAAGTTTCTGATGACAATTAGCTTAATTAAACCAGGTACAAGATTATATAATTGTATTTTCTATCCAATTATCCATATAATATCTTATCCAGAAAAAATAACTTGATCAATACCAAATGATTTTCTAACTAGTAAATAAAGTATTTTCTTTACACACACATTGTATATCATAGTTTTTTTTGGTTTCGCAAAACATCCAAAAACAAATATGCTATAAAAGTGACAATTTTAGCAAAACGAAACCCTTAAATAAGTCAAACAACTAAAAACGATTATTTAATATGAATAAAATTATTTGATCTTCAATCTCGAAATAATTGGTTCACAAATAGCAGACTTTTCGTCAGAATTTGTAGCGACTTTGAATAAACCTCCATTGGACGTAACACCAACGATGCCACTAACTTTTGCATTGAAATTAATCCACATTGGAGGATTATCGCTGTATTTGAGTTTCATTGTTGGCCTTATTGCATCATCTTCGGTTTGTTGGTGTAAATCGAAGACAAGAAAAGTTTCTGTATTATCAATCAAAGCTAAGCGATTTCTATGCTCATCAAAGGAGATAAAATTGATCTTACTGCAATTTCCTCTCTTTAGACGAGCAACAATTTGAAGAGATGGGTCATTATAAATATTAATTTGCCTTCCTTCATCTCCTGCGATTGCAATTAAGCGGCCATTCTGGCTGACTTTAATGCCAAGAATAGATGTCTTAAAGCAATGTATATAGCGTGGTGGAACGGATTTATCGTAAATATCAATAATTCCGATAACGCCTGTTTCTGCTGATGGAAAAACGATCATGTTGATAATATGAGATGGTGTGAGATCAAAAATGCCATCGCGATTAAATGCTGTTTCGAATTGAGCGACAATCTTGAAATCGGATAAATTCATTACGTAAATGCATTTCTGGGAAGAAGCGATTATAATATCTGGTCTAAGTTTAATACCCGTAATAGGGGCTTCGAAATGGCAAGTAGTTAAAAGTTGCAAAAGTCAAAAATTGAGGGTAATATTATTATCTTTTGGTTTTTATATATAACTCGTAAATTTGTTAAATGGTTAGGTTTTGTATATATGCTGTATTTTAAAAGAGCTGGGTTCCCTATCAAAACAAATCATGAAAAATATTCGACTGCTGATAAGAACTTGCATAAAATAAAGGGTAGTTTTAACAAAAATATTATGATTTTAATGATTTAGAAGTGAATTTAAATTTGCTTTCATTGTAATCAAAATTGATGAATAATAAAATGAAAACAATTCATCATTCAACTCGTTAAAGTTATTCGTAGACATTTGAAAATTTGATATTACTTACGAAAAATATTATAATCCGAAATTGAACAAAGATGGTCGAAATCATGAATATATTCATTTTCATAGTGCAATGTTTTGCAAGTACATCAAAAACTTGCTAGTGAATCACATAGATTATTGGTTTTACAAGTTTGAATCATAAGTGTGAATAAACTTGGTCGGGACCCTATGGGCGCTGCGCACCCCTAATATATGAGAAATTGATCATTTGGCAAAAATACAAAATTTAAATAAAGATGAAAAATATTTTAGGAATAAATAAAAGAGAAATAGGGATTTAAAAAAAGTTCGCAAAATGGCGAATTGCGCCACTTCTAATTTTTTGGCGAATTCGCCATTTTTCAATTTCCAAACCATATAAAAGGGTCTGTTATTTTTATTTTGTGGAATTCTCGTTTTTTATTAATAAAGGGTCTAACATTTTTATTGTGTGATAATCTTCATGATTTTAAGATAGGGTCTACTATTTTTATTTTGGGATTATCGTTTTCCTCTCAATTTTACTTTACAAAATGGCGAATTCACAAAATGGCGATCACCAAATGGCGAATTCGCAATTTGGCGAAGACGTTAAGGCCAATATTATGTTTCCATTTTTCTTATCAATTTGCAAAATATATTTGATGAATATATATATTATGACAATAAAGTTCATATTTGTTCACGATTAAAAATTATTATTTTTTTTGGTTTTGCATTTCATTATGCTGATTGCAAAATTAGCTTTTCTTGATGTTAGTTTGATTAAATCATAACAATTTATTCTCATACTAACTAATCAGAATGATTTTGAATTCAAAAATAAGAACTTTATGATTAAGTTCGTTATAAATTATTACTCATAACATAAACAGTTTTTATGTGCGCTTTAAGAAATGGCATGGTTTTAATTTGAAAAATTTGAATGAAATAAATTGTTGCCTTTTCCGCACACTAATACTTAATAATATTAATATTATTTGGAATCTCTTACTTTATGATATTGTGAAGGAATTTATCTAAAATTAGATAATATTTGCAAAAATTTAGGTTTTTCTCAATTACTCAGTATTTCTAATAATAGAATTTACTTGTGTAAAAAGATAATTGAAAAGAAGAAGAAATTATTCAATATAATGAGATAAATAAAAGATATTATCGAGATTATCTAAAAAACACGAGAAATCATTACAGTATTTGCATGGTGCTGTATTAATATATTTGAAGTTATATGATAAGTTTCCAAAAACAAGTATTGACGCCTTGAATCTGTCAATTATTCACTTAAATTCAAAATGGTTATCATGAGCATCATGACTATACGAAATAAAGTTATAAGCATACTGTAACTATTTGACATATGCAAAAATTATCAATGATTATAGCGAGATTCAGTATAAATTATGTCACTTTTTGAGTTCGCCGAATTCGAAAAAATCAGACTGAGTTAGCGAATTTTCAGCAATTCGCCATTTGGCGAAACCGTTTTTAAATCCCTAAGAGAAATAAAAATACAACAGAATTATACAAAATAAAAATAAAAATGAAATAAAATGATAATGATAGTTATTTGGGAGTTTGGGGTTGTCGTACAATGAATGGTGTGTAATCTTTAAGTTCGAAATCGTATTCCCAGTCGGCAAGTGATGAAATGAAAATGTCGATCTTCTCGATTGCGAAGTTTTCGCGTGGAACATTTCCAAGTTGTGGAATAGGTTTCTTAACTTCCGTGCAAACTTCTTTAGCTGCACTTGCCCATGCACCGATGTTCTCAACTGCTAACTGAAGTTCGCTGATACGCTCTGAATCACTCTTGTGTGAATTGACAAAAAGCTCGTTGATCATCTTGTCCAAGTTTCGGATGAGTGATCGCTTCTTCTGGATCATCTTGTTAACTGAAAGACACTTGGATGGTGTCTCCTGTTGTGCAACTAACTCAAGACGAGTGGAAAGTGGATAGTCAACAATCTGATTGAGAATCTCGATACGCAACAAAATAAGTTTGGCAACAATGCGAAGACATTCTTCTTTAGCTTCATTGGCTGCCATACGAAGACGGTCTGCTTCTTCCCAGCTAGCACCGATCTGGTCAAGAAGAACAACTTCTGTACGTGCACTCTCCATCTCTTGACGTGACTCTTCTTGGCGGTGACGAAGGTGTGTCTCTTTCTCTTCCCGCATAGATGCAATCAACTGTGCAAGTTGTTGTGATTTAGCGAGTTTCCGGTCGACATCTTCGTTAGTGCAGTCAAGAGGACGGCTGTTCCTGATGTTAGCGACGTAGTTAGAGAATGAAAGATGGTCGATCTTTTCGCTGAGAGAAATGGCTTTGTCACGTGCTGATTTACGCTCAATCTTAGATTGTTCGATGAACTTGCGAAGTTCAACGTATTTGTCGCGGTCGTAGTGTGAAGGAGTGACGTTTCGAAGGTTGGAAATCTTAGGCTGGTTCTTGATGCTGCTTTTAAGACTGATGATACGGAATTTGACTTCGTTCAACTTATCCAAATCATCAAAGACTGTTTTTGAGTTTTCGATGACATCTTGACCAACACCGCATTCTGTCGCTTTACTAAGGAACTGATCACGGATTTCTGCAAGTCGGTTGTCGATAGTGTTCTTTCGACTTGCAAAAGTCAAAAATTGAGGGTATTCATGAATTTAAGTTAAGATATAAGTTTAAGCCTTCTTCAATAATTACAGAAATTAATCAAGTGTATTTGGATTTAGTCTAAAAATTAATAAAATCTAAATTAATTTAGAAGATTTTTTAGAAAAAAGTGAAAAACAATAGCATATAGTATAGGGATTATTTCTAATTTCCATACATAATTGATTATTAGGTTCTTGTTTCTAAATTCCAAATTGATTGGAATTTCGAAACAACTTTTGTTTGGAAATTCCAAATAAAAAATATGAAGATTCTGATCACCTACCTGTTCATACTTTTGACGGTTTTTCCATATTCAGGGTTTTCATACTTGCGACGGTTTTTCCAAATTCTAACTGTTTATAAATAGGGTACCCTATTCATAAATTCCGTCGCCTTTATGAATAAGTCTAATCAATATCAAGCTCAGAGCCAAAAACTTTCTGCACAAGAGCAAAATTACTATATTTCTTCATGCTACTTTGGCAAAAGCAATACAAAGGGTTCTATTTACCTATCGACCACTAAAAATACAATTAAATTTCTGGTTGATACCACCACATTTACCAACTGCAGTAACAATGGTGAAGGGGGATGCATCTACTATGGTACAGAAGGCCAATTCGTCCAAGATCGAATTTGCAGTTTCTCTTTAAAAGTAAACTCATGGAAAACAGAAGGAGTTTATTGTAAAATTGATGTCAGTGATAGCAATAGTTATAAAAATTATATTTATGCATCATCAATTAGTAAAAGCGGTGATGAAAGTTTCTTGGGAATGAATACTCTGTATTTAATAAACGGCCAAATCCAAATTAAATCAATAAATATTTCATTTTCCAAAATATATTGTAGAGATTTTTATTATGCTTTTTCATATTCTTCAGGTTCAAATTCGTCATTTTCCACTTTTACTAATTCAACAAGCGGAAGTACAATAAACTACTATAAACTTAGACATACTGATTCTGCGGAAGTATTCAATATAATAAATTGTAATGTATTGAATAACAAAAATGCATCAATTCTCCAAGCTTTATATGATACTTCTTCCTCATGCTATATCAAAAACAGTAGTTTTATCAATAACATTCTAAATGATGGTTGTTATTATTTTGATGGTACAATTACTTTAGATGGATGTTTTATTGATAATAATAGTCCAAGAACAACTTGGTCAGTTGCTTTTACAAATAGAAATAGAAATCAATTTACTCATGATTTTTCACTTTTATGCCTTGATAAAAAAACAAAAAATGAAGAAACAAACTCCGTTAAAATTTACAATATATTATCGAGAAATCGAAGAAGATAATTAACTACTAAATTATGAACCATGCAAAATCTTTTGATACTGTTCCAAATGAAGAACACGAAATAAATGATCTTGACAATAATGGGGCTATTGATTTTTTTTACATTGGTTACGAAGTAAGCATATTCTACATGTTATATTGAAAAGTCTTTAAAAGAATATTCAACGAGGATCTATTGGGATTAAAAAAGTTAGAGCAACATTAAAAAAGTTTGCTGTTAATCTTCCCAAGCTAATTGAGGGATGGAATTTGAGCCAATCTCCATATGTTTGGTAGAAGAAAATAACAAAAGAAATTCAAGAATCATCGATATAATATAGTTGTTGAGATCATTATTAAGAATCTGAACCACTTTAATTAATTTTAGGATATTGCTAATATTTGAAAAATAGTTTCACAAGAAATTATCTTATAGAAGAGATCTCTTGGAGATTTTTTTTATCAGATATTCAGTTATTGATGCTGATTCAAGGATTTGTTGGATAGTATACAAACTAACAATAAATAATAAATTTGCTTTTATTATAAACTCGGTTTTAAAGCTTATATGCATGGAACATTGCAAAGAACATATAAACCGATCAATATTCGTTTGGAATTGGCGAGATAGGTTCAATCATATTGTCAAATTTATATATATATGTCAATATATACCATTCTATGGCACCAGAAAACAAGTCACAATGAGAATTAGTCATGAAGTTTCAACAGATCTCCGACTTTTTCTTCCAGAGTTCTGTTGCAATTAATATATCCAAAATGACAATTAAAACTGCATATATTGCCATTCTGAAACACTTAAAATTACCAAAAGGACGAAGAATATTGATGCAAAATATATTCATGTATTTTATACATGATATCTAAAAAAGCCTTTGTTTTAGTCGCTTCTATATTTTCTCATATCTATATTTATATAAATAGAATAGCTTAGCCCAATTACAGTCGATTGCCTCCTTATATTAGTTTTGGGTGCTATTCTAAAAACATATTCAAAATCTTTATAACATTCAAATCAAAATTAAATAAGAATATTTTTACCAAAATAACAAAGTTAAGTATACATTTGATAATTTCCATAATCTTTATCATTTTCCACAGTAGAAATAACAGTTTGTTCATGCTCTTGTGTATTGAATACAGCAATAACAAATATGAAAACAAAAATGAAAAAGAAAACACCAAATCCAACAATAATTGAAATCCAATGCAGAAGAGTCGATATATTGTTTACTAATTCTTCTTTGCACCCGCGAATTCCATAATTTAGCCACTTCTTCATAAAGTCTTCGTTTGTTAAATACGTAGCACATCGTAATTTGTCCCAATCATCTGCATACTCATAGCCACAACACAAGTTGTCATTCTCAATCTGTATTATCCTCTGGAGGTCTGTTGGATTTGCTGTACTTTCAACTCTTTTCCATAGACTTTCAAAACCCATTTCAAAACCCATTTAGGAAAATGAATGCAATGGCTAGAATGAAAGCAGAACATCCAAACGTAAAACATAAAAGTGTAATAAGGCCCATTTGACAACCTCTTCATGTTTTGAAACACATACAGCATCCATAAATCGAGCTAATACAAGAAAAAAATAGAAAGAATCCGAGAGGAACCACAAAAATAAAATAATTGTACATGCTTCCAGCCCAAGAATATTGTTTGTCATCTGATGCTATTGGTGCTACAATTGAAATACCTACTATAATACCAATAAATGCCAAAATTGAAAAGGTTGGCATGCAGCAACGACCAACTTCACGACACCCCATCAAATTTTTTATTTGAATTATTCACAATTTTTTTATTGTCAAAGGCAAAAATTATCTACAGAATTAAAACCTTCATTAAGTAAATATAATAAAAACCATTATCCAATGGAATGATTTGATACTAAAGCCTGTCAAAATTTTAGAAAATACAATAGACCTATATTTTTTTGTTAAAAAATGTCAGATTTTATTTCAAATGAAAACGATATGTTTATTGAAATTAAATGATAATATTAAATGAGAGAAATGACGGAAGCTTCGTTTTGCGGGGTGCAACAAGATCCGATTGCAAAAGCTAATAAAACAAACAAGAACATAGCGATACCACCTACAAATAATGAACAACAAAGTATTTGATCTGAATAATAGTTAATTAATTCTCTCTTACAGCCATGAATTCTGGAATTTAACCATTTATTCATGAAATCCTTATTTGTCAAATAAGCTGCACAGCGTATTTTATCCCAATCATCTGTGTACTCATATCCGCAGCACAAGATACTATTTTCGATTGAAACAATTGTTTTAAGGTCTGTAGGATTTGCTGTACTCTCAACTCTTTTCCAAAGATCTTTATCTGCAATAAGAAAATCAGGAAAACCATAAGCAATGATTGGAATCATTAATGCAAAGAGCAATGAAATGACAATTAATACAATAAAAGTTGTTTGACAGCCTTTGCCAGTTCTGCAGCACATACACAATCCATAAAAGCTAGTAATTATTGTAAAAAGCAAGAATAAGCCAAGTATTACTAATGCAAAAACGTAATTGTACATCTGTGAAGTCCAATCATAAAAAGTTAGTTGATACGTTGTAATAATTATTGCTGCAACGGCTCCTCCAAGTGCGAGAAGTATTAAAATAGAAAATGTCGGCATACAGCAGCGGCCACATCCGATACAACACATTTTTATTTTTTTGGTTTGACAGAATTGATAATATTTCAATTTTTCTGAATAAACGAATTTATTTAGGAATATTTGGTTATGTGGTTTTCATTAATAAAATCGAAACAAAATTTTGAGAAAAATTTGACACCAAAACAAATCTTCCCAGAAAATTATATCATGTTAATTTATGAATTTATTACTATTTTGACATAATTTGACGGTTTTCATGGCCAATTCAATACAATTTTCTTTGGTCTTCTCAATTTTTATCAGACGTGAAATTTAAGAATCATTTGAAACTAAGTCATCTTGCCTTATGAGCTAACCAAGTATTAATTCTACATTCATTTAAGATAATGACATGGAGAATTAATTAAAGATTTAAGCAGGAATTTGCCTAAATGTCGAAACTCTTTTTTTATTATTATTGTCTGAATGAATATGAATACAATATTTAATTAGCTAATAGAAATGATATACAATCTTTCTAATTTTAGACGATTTTCTCCAAAATAAACAAAATTGATGTTAATTCAATTAAAATCAAAATCATCGATTATCATAATTTTTGTTAAGTTGGTCAATTATTATATGTAGTGTGCAATTCATCAATATAAAGGATTCAAACTTGAATTCAAAATTTCAAAAATTATTAATAAAAAGAATATTCACATTATTCATAAGTAAATAAAAACAAACAATTTTATTTCGGATTAGTCATTGTATTATTAATTTCAGGAGTTACATCAAGTCTTGTCACTTTTATACCAATTTTTGGTTCTACAACGTAAGAAACTTGAGGCTTTGAAGGTTTCTTTTGGAGAATCTTTACTCGGTATTTCTTTTCCATGTTGTCAAATGTCTGAATCTTCTTAATTGCAGGCATATCCGGTGGGAAAGTCTTGCAAAGCTCTATATTGCATTTTCCACACCAAGAATGACAGCATGACACGTGGTAGCAGCTTCCACAGGACGGACAACAAACGATTATTCCATCCAATTTATGTTGGCAAATTTGACATTTTGTTGCATCATAAAGAACTCCACTTTGCTTTGAAGAAACAGCTTTGAGTTGGTTCTTTACTGCTTCCTCGTGTGTGATAGCGTTCAATGACATCGCAAAGTTGTTCTTCTCTTTAATCGTGTCGAAGAAAATCCTGAAAATCTTCTTCGATTGGTTGAATGGCAAAAATGAGAAATTTCAATAAACATTTGCAACTTTGCTTTGATTTAAATTAAATAATATGATCTTCTTGATCAAATGTAATGATTGGATATGAAAATATTATTAAATAGCCTTATCTCATATAGACTTATAAAACATAACTTCTTTCAACGAAAGATAATTAATTTATTACGTAAAGAAGATACCTGGGTAGGGGGTCATGAAAAAGTTGCAAAAGTCAAAAATTGAGGGTATCTTCTTTACGTAATAAATTAATTATCTTTCGAAAAATCACTATCCTACAACTAATAATCACAAAAATATTATTGTGCTTATTGTGTGATGTAAAATTTTGCTCGAAATCCGGAAATTTCGTTTCTTGCATTTCAATTTCCCATTAAACAAAATTCACAATAATATAATTTCATCCACTATTCATTGATCTTCAATGAAATGCATATATTCATAGAATTTCTTAATTGAATTTAAATATTACATAAATTCTAAGAAGAAATTAAAATACTTAAAACTTTATTTATATGATTTATACATAATTAGCACCATTTGTGCCAATCAGAGGTTCAGGAGGTACTTGATCAAAGATAGCACCCATTGCTTTACCATGTGTATCTGGGAGAAGTGTGAATCCGAAGAGAACTGCAAGAAACATGATTCCACCGAAGATGGAGACAGAAATTCCGAAACTTAAGTAAGTATTCATCAATTCCCAGAATCCCATGACTGTTGCAGCCAAGAACCAGTTGAATGATGTCATGATTGATGTTGCAACAGCTCTGACTGAGTCATTGAACAATTCTGGAGTAATAACCCATGGAATTGGGCCAAGACCTAATCCGAAAACGAAATTGTCCATGATCATCATAATGGCTGGTATCAAATTCGACCATTTGAACCAAAAGTTCAATGCTGTAATCAAAAGTGCTGCGAAACATAAAAATGAAGACACTAACCATGATGGTTTATGTCCCAAACAGGCAATGATTGGTGCAGAAACACCTGTAGCTATCAATCCGGCCAATCCAACAAGGAAAGCTGCGAAACTTGGATCCAAACTTGATCCGGCCTCTTTGAATATGGAATTGAGGTTAGAAAGGAAGGCATTGCAGCCTGAGTATTGCTGGAAGAACATAAGAAGTGCGGAAATCAATAATGGCTTAATGTATCTGCGATTAAATATTGTTTCATTGCTTTGATTTTGTTCGCTATTGACGTTTGAGCTTGGTGACTCTGGAACGAAATTAACTAACATAATGTGAAGGAATGGTGCAATTGAAAGACATAGGCAAAGATAAGTATAACTGAGCCAGATTCCAAGCAAATAGCAAAGGCATGCACCAATAACTACACCAAATTGATGCAAAATACCGTAGGAGCTACGTACTTCTGTAGGAGAGATTTCGGTGATGTATAAAGGACAAACTGTAGAAAATGAGCCAACTGTAAGACCAAGAATAGCTCTACCGATAAATGCAATTATCCATGTCTTTTCTCCAGCAAGAGGAATGATTAACCAGCCAATTGTTGCACAAACTGCTGTAATTATGCAAGTAAATCTTCTTCCAAGACGATTGATTGGAATATGAATAAATGTTGGGGTAATTACACCCATTGCTGCTGGTAAAAGGTTAAAAATAGTACCTGATGCTACACTAAGATGCAATTTAAGCATCATTAAGTCTTTAGCTGGACTCCAATATGCCATAGTTTCTCCAAAGTTCATTGAACCTAAAATAATTATCATTACATAAAGGAGTTCCTTTCTAAAGAATTTTACCATTTCAAATTTTATCACTTTTTTTTATCACTTGATTTATCAATAAAAACGATGGGAAATGAATAACAAATCTACATTGAAATGATGAACTTTAACAATGAGCTAACACCATTATTGCTATTGGTTGTAGATGAATTCGAAAAGTATCGATATTGATTGATCTCAAACTTTAATTTCGAAGGTGTTGTTAAGATCTCGCAGATTCATTCACTATACACTATATCCTAACAATATACTAACCTTGAATGAGATCGACGGAGTTTAAACCATTTCGAGCGTGGATAATTATTTCTAATAAGCCAAATTACTTTACATTATGTAATAACATATCTGTGTGAGTTTTCTCTTGTTGAACTGTCCAATGAGAATGTTGTTGAAAAGGTATCAATTTAACCAAGCTTTATTCTTGTCTTTGTATTTTCAATCTTCTTTATACATAGAGAGATACTCTCTTTTAACAAGAAAATCTGATTGAATAACAAAATATATATTTGGGAAATTTTCAATTAAGGGAGTTAACTGTTCAAATTCACAAAACATACTAATAAGATTTTGTAAATATATATTACGAATAGAAAAAACTGGAAGTTGCAAAGGAATTTTGACGTAAAATCATGACAAATTCAATTTTGAATTCACATAAAATTCACCCACCATAATTTTGGCTCTAACTCATCAAATATGTTTTAAGTGATATCAAAGGATAAGTCCATTTTATAATTGGTCATATTACATTTTTTATCCAGAATGCAGTTTAGTCCTGCTCTTAATTTTGAGATTAAACAAAGTATAATTCGTCATTATATTTTCAAAAGCTTTTCATTTTTGAATCTTCTCAATTTTGATTGCATAAAATAAATTTATTTGATAATTTTCGTCATAATTCAACGGTTATTATTATTCTTTCAAAAATGTAAATTATTGAATTGCATCAAAAATTCAATTTAATTGAATTAAATTTATATTAATGTTCAATCTTTTATTTTCCTTTACTTTTTGCAACAAATTTACATATAATTTCGATCCAAATGACAAAAATTTATTCAATGCCTATTATAATGGTGAATCCATTACCGATGATCACGGATTTCAAGCCCAATTACAAGTTGATCGATCTGATTTTACTTATTTGACAAGTAAGGATAATGGAGAGTCATTCTTTCATGGCATAAAAGTTAAATCATCAATATCCGCATCAGATACCAAAGATGAACTTTATATGGATTTTTTAGTAGATAATAATTTGACATTTCCTCTTGATTTTAAGTTAGTTTTTTATGGATATGCACCATATACTCCAAATGATGTTGGTGTGTCTACTTATGCAGGAATTAATGGTTTTGTATATAATCAGCCAAATAGTGATGAAAAAATCGTTATTGTTGCAGATTCAAAGAATCCTGTCAATGTTACATATCACGATGCTGATATACGCTTATTCAGACCAAGTTACAATCAAGATGAAGTTTACAAGTTTTCTGAAAATATCAATCCTGATGCAAGACCATTTAAATCTTCGCAGTCACTTTTTGCTTTTGGATGGACATTCTATCTTGGACCATTTACTCCAACAACATTAAGAATTATTATTGCCGATAATAATTTTATGGAACCCAGACCTGAAATAATTTGCCCGAGCGAAAATATAGTTAAAGGACAGAAAACTGTATGCAAATTGAGGTCATCAGTTAATAATCAAAATGTTAGAGTGTATCTATCTGGTAAAGAATTCGAAAAATTAGATGTTTTTACACTTATAAGTACAGAACAATATGAAGAAAAATCAATTTTAATTCCATTTGGAAGTTATGAATTTATTTTTATTGCTTCCAATAATTCTATGAATTCTATTCCAAGCCATTTATTTATATACGAATTATCACTTGATTATGAAATAATTGACCCTCCGAAAATTCTAAAAAGATACACAAGCTTAACAATTTCTGTTCAAACAAAATCTGGATCTGGATACCACACCCCATGCATTTTCTTTGATGATGATATTCAAAATAAAAAATGTCTATATAATAGGTACATAAGTTCTGGAAACAACTATGAATACACATTCGATTATGATTATACTAAACAAGGAAATCGGAAAATTAGTTTTTATTATTATTATAATAGTTATACAATTCTAAATAGCATTAGAAAAACATTTTTATGCAAATATGGCGCAAATGCTCCATATATATCCACACCATCTCAGATCTCTATTAATAAGCCTGGAACATACTCATCTATGCTTGCAATTTATTATTCTGATATTCCTCAAAATATTACTTTGTATGTGAAGCATCCAGAAAAAGGAATAGAAGATTTTCAATGGCTGGCAAATGTTACGCTATTTACTACTGATATCAATTATTTCTATAATTTCACATACAATCCTTCAGATGATCAATACGGTCAATATGATATCACCTTTAAAGCTGTTGATTCAATAGGATTGGAATATCAAACTAATCAAAGATATGTATTTTATCCTCCACATATAGTTTCATCACATGATCTACTACGAACATCAGCAGTAGGTTTTGCAGGCGGTGAAAATGTTAAATTAAATTTCACTTTAAATCAAGTTAGTCCTGGTACACAATACAAAGTTAAATATACATTTGTGCATCAAACAGCCAGTGATGATGGTGATTTAAGATCTAGGCGCCTATTGAGTTCTTATGGATCTGATATAACACTCTCACAAATGACCGAACATTTTGATTTTATTTTAGAATCTTTTGACCCGCGTACTATTTCCAATGAATTTTCTAATTTAGATGGTATTTTCACTGCAAACGATAATTGGTCCAGTGAAACATTTGGTATAGACTTCCATGCAACAGAAAATGCATTTGAAAGTGTAACAATTTACTTGATTGCTGAACCAACAATTGAAAACTTAAAAAAAATATATGGTTATTTCACTTTTGCAACATAACCTGCACCAGTAATTAATGATATTTTTACTGATGATGAAAATCCTCTAGTTTTATCAAATAGTGTTTATGTTAATTTTAATGTTACTGGTACGGGTAATCTAATTATTTTACTAGGATTTTATAATGATATTTTTGATATTACTTCATATTTATATTCTACCGACCCATATGGAGAATTTATCCAAAAAGAAAGAATCGCCACAATTTCCTATGGGCTATTATATGCATGCAATTTTACAGAAGGTGATTTTGTTGAATGGGATACTCTGGTGAATAGATTTGGACGAACTAGATCATTCAATTTATCCGCAGTAGCACTAAGTAGTAATGGAGTCTTATCTAAAACATTTATTAAAACAGTTAATATAACAAGTAAACTAGATCCCACAATAGGAATTCAATGTGAAGCAATTCCTTCAGAAAATGATTATAATGATTTAACAGATGCAAATTTATATTGTGAAATGCGAATCATGAATCCAGGTGAAAGAGGTACGATATATTATTCATTGGATGATGGTCAGCCAATTCAATATGGCAGTTATAGGGGAAATTATGATAATGCTTATGAAACTATATTGCTATATAGACAAAATACATCAGGAACTTATGAATACAAGTTTTGGGTTGAAGATTCCATCGGACTAAAATCAAATGTTTTGACTTACACTGATGTTGTAGTAGAATCTGAAGATGGTGATGCCCAATTAAATTGTGATCATTCTGGAGAAATATATTATGATCAAGAAAAAGTAATAAGCTGTTATTTCTCAAATATTAATGCCAGAACTAACACATTTGATACAAACTTAGTTGTGGAAATAGAAAATATGAATCAAACAATTGATATTATTGTAGATTATAATTATAGAAGCGGAAGCAGAATGTATGCATATCTTCGATTTAATATTTCAAACATTTCAGAATACGAAGGCACTATCAACTATTATGCAACAATGACAAATGGAAGAGTAAGTGGGTCTTATAAAGGCTCGGGTATAATTAAATTCTTTCCAAAAGTCAGAAATTTCACCTTAGACAAAACAGTTTATTCATATGGAGAAATGATTAACCTGAATTATGAGACAAATGTAAATGGAAATTTCGAACAAATAATAAAATGTGATAACACACAAATTCGGTATCAATCACTTTCAAATTCAGGAGACTGGAAAAGTTTTAACAGCAATTTTAACATGAAGAAAATATATACAAAAGGTAACCATACAATGTTTTTATCTATAACATGGAATAGTATTACAAAAACATATACATTTGATTTCACTATTTCTGATAACTATGTTCCAATTGCAAACGTTGTAGATCCCCCATATATTGAAACTGAAGTCCGATTTTATGAATGGAGTTATAATTTTAAATTACTTTATAGGGATTTCAATATTGGTGAAGAAGTTAAATTATATTTTCAAGTAGATGATAACCTGCCAACATTAATTTAAGTAATATATCAGATGGATCATACCAATACTATAATTATGAATATGTATTCCCGAAGGAATCTACTTTGGTTGAAATTCACTATTATGTTGTTGATTCCCATGGGATGAAATATTCCTCTCTAAATCATTATTTATATATCGGACAAGAAAGAAGAATGGAAAATTTAATTCATCTTTCAAGATATTATGATCCAGGATCAATGCTTCAGATGCAGTTACAATTTTTTGATTTCAATCCAGAAGAAAATTATCCTGCAAGATTTGTGTTAATTGATTACAATAATGATATAGAAGTTTTTTCAAAAGATCTAAATATCAATGTATCATGTAACGATCATTATATATCTGATATAATAGATGTATCTGTTGAATTACCAAGCTATATTGGCAGTTATATGGGTAAAATTATACTTGAATTAGAACGGATGAAATATACTTTTAGTGTAGGACTGATTCCAATTAAATTAAGACCAAAGCTTCTGAACATTGAACCAATCAAAGATGAATATGCACATGGAGAAAGGATTGAAATAAAGGCTCTATGTACGAATCAAGGTAATTTTTATACAAAATTATCATATTATTTTGATGGTGATGAAACAAATCCTAGAGATATATCTGCGAAGTCATACAATAGAAATGAATATTGGACTAATAATACTATAGAAATTCCAAATGATTTTAAAGATGGTTATTATTCAGTTACTATATTTGTTAGGGATGAATTTAGTTCCAGTTTAGAGAGAGAAGAAATGAGATTTTATCTCAATAATAAACACACTCCAGAAATAATATGTTCATTTGATGTAAATAATATGGAATTATATCAGAAAATTAATGCAGAAATTACTGTTGCTGATAGAGATATTGGAGATCATCTTGAAATATATCGAATTATTGATAATGATGTATCAAAACAAGAGAAAATTAAAGAATTTGATGTTGGTAATCAAGAAATGAAATTCACATATGTTATTAACCAGCCAAAAGTTGAAGGTACGCATAACATCACTTTCCTTGTCAAAGATCAAACAGGATTAATAGCTAAATCTATTAGAAACTATTATGTTTATAAAGTTCCATCACCTTATATTACGTCTTCTTTGAGCAGCAGTTACAAAGGTGGTGAAATAGAAACAATTTCATGTTTTGTCAAAGATTTCATCCCAGGTCAGAAAGTTCAAGTTTACTACAAATTTAACAATGATATTTTGATACATAATGCATCTAATGAATTAACTGTTCGTGATGACTATCGAACAGATAAAATAACATTTAATGTTCAAATGCCAACAAAATATGGTCAGTATCATCTTGATATTTGGGCAACAGATAGCGGCCCAACTGGAAAATATTCATATTATCAATCACTAAGAGTCATAGTGAACAAGCCTCCAATCATTCAAGAATTCAATAATATACGAGACTTATATTACAGGAAATCGTTCATTGTAGCCGAAGGTACTGTTTTCGATGAAGATTCAGTTTACTTCGGATACAAATTCAACAACGAAAACGAATACACTCGCACATCATATTATCTGAAGTGCAGTGATCAGAATACTACATTCAGATATGAGGTTCCAATTCCAGATAGTTTGAATCCAGGTCCAAATACTTTGCATATTGTATTCTGGGACAATTATTATGGTAAAATTTCAGAAAGTAAGTCACAAGAGTTTACATATGACCAACGAAGTGCACCAGAACTTTATGTTTCTGTTGACTCAAGCACAGTGTACTTCCATGAGAAGATCAATTTCCATATAAGTGTCAAGGACATTGATCCAAATGATATTGTCCATGTTATGATGAAAGTCAACGATAAAGAAGAAGTGGAAATATATTCAGGTAACAATCAAGGTCAAACATATAACTTTGATCATCAAATTCGTCCTCCACTTGTTCAAGGTACTTCATATTTCATTTTTAGGACATATGATAGTGAAGGAGCAGAAGGAATTAAAAAGACGCAGAGAATCAACATCATTAGTAATCCGAAAGTTGTATTAACATCTAATTTTGACCAGCCATTCTATGCTCCAAACTCGTCAATCAATAAGACACATTGTATCCATATATTATTTAGCTAACACAACTTATCTGGTATCGAGAAAATTCAAAAAAAGCACAAAATTTGAAAATTGCTCGGTTCTACATTCAAAATAAATTTCATTAATTTTTACGTACATATTAAGGTACTTATCTTCTACATATATAATCTTCATTAGATATATACATGATAAATAAAATTCATAAAACATTAAAAATCAAAAAATTAGATGAACCTTGGCAATTAAACTTTATTAAATAATAGTTGTTTATAAATTATATTATATTATCATTTAATATTATTCTGATAATGAAGATTTTATTTTGCAATAATATAAACGAAATTTTTTACCTTATGAACTTTTGATGGAAATATGCAAATTTAAAATAATAAAGAAAGCCGCGAGCGAAGCGATCGGCTTAGTTCGAAGATTTTGATTCAAATCTTTGCTGATCTGTAATTCGCGGAAGCCGCGAGCGAATCGAGCGGCTTAGGTCTAAGATTTTGATTCAAATCTTTGCTTATATTCCTTAAATTCTTTATGAAACTCGCAACAGTTCCATAAAAAATTTTAAATTCTAAACTGTCGAAATTACCGATCGGTAATCACACCCTTCACGGGTGTGTCACTTTTTACAGGCGTGTCACTTTTAGCTAAAATTACCCCTACTTGTTGCCGCTATCATCTGCAGCGTCATCATCTTTATCATCATTCTGAAGAGGAAGAAAGAAGAAGAAGATAAGTCGAACGAAGAAGCAATCGAGATTGAAGCAGAAACAGTCCAAAGCATCACCACGACCGGACAAGAAACAACAAACGACAATCCACTTTTCACAACAACAGACAAGATCGATGATCCATTCCATCAAGATTTCGAAGAGAATGATAAATTTGTTGAAGATCAATATGATCAAAATAATGATGATCAAGAAGATCCAGATCTCAACAACGACTCTGTTGATCTTTAATATTTAATATCTCCTTTTTATTATTCATTAAAAAATTAGTTATTAAAATAGGTATTAGAAGATGTATTTTGTGTTATCTTTAGTCACATTGAGCAAGCTTCTCCCCCATTTATCAATACAATATTTTATCAAATAAATAATTTAAAAAATCCAATTCTCAGATTGCAAGAGTGAAAATTTGCAAATCCAATAACTTTCTATTAAAATTATAATTATAATATTTGATAATATATTATTATTGGATTTGCAAATCCAATAATATTTGAATATGTTTTAGAAACCTGATTATAAAATTTGATATTGAATAATATACCAATAATTCATTTCTAATATTATAATATGTAATTACAATATTTGTAGTATTTATTTTTGATGGAATTAACTGATTGGATGATGGATAAAAGCAACAAAACTATCGTTAATGTTTTCAGAAGTTTACATGATTTTGATTGAAATATTTACACCATTCAAAAAAGATAGCTCTTCTGAAAAGGAAATGCATCCATCCTGGAACACAACCAGGACAAAATTGGATGTAAAAAAGATTCATAGCGTAATATGTAGCTCAAAAAATGGTATTTCCACTCGAAAAGATGCTGAAAATTTTCTATTAACCGAGAAAAATTCCAAAAACTACACAGACAGATATATTTCATGGATGTTGATGCTAAATATACTAAATCCCAGCAAAGATAGTTGGGCTGATTATATATGCCAACTTTGCTCTAAGTATGAATCTTTTTTAAATTCTAAATTAGTCGAAAATCCTTCAGATCCATTACTTGCATTATCAGATGAGCAAGAATCACAAATTCAAAACGATTTACGAAGGACTATTAGATTCTTCAATGATTTAGCTAAATCGGCAAATTTACCTTATATAAAGCAAAATGGTGTACTTTTTAGAGTTGCAAGAGTATTAACAATGATGAACTTGACGGAATCAAAGTTTACTTATATTCAAGGCTGTGAAAGATATGTTTATATTTGCTATCTTATCTCAATTCTCTTCACCACTGAAAATGACCTACCAGATATGATTGCTGAAGCGAGTGCTTATTATCTGGCAACTAAAATGATCGAATTATCTGGGATTTCCCACTATTTATCAGATCCGACAAGGTTAGAAAATCATTTTAGAGAGTTAGATCAAAAAATGTACCAAATTAATCCGAATTTAATGAATTATTTGAGCAAACAAATGCAAACATCAATACATTTCGCTTTAAGATGGGAAATTTTATTATTTGCCGAAGAGCATGATTACGCAGGCATTATTACATTGTGGGATCGCATCATATGCCACAAGACTGCAATGCAACAGTATATTGAAGCTCTTTGCCTTGCTCATTTTGCACAAGTACCAATTTGTAAACTTGGTCAACTACAACACTACAAGAACTGGAATATGCAGAAATTAATTGCAGATGCCGATAAATTCATGGATCCAAACACAAATCTTTTTGGATGGGGAAAAGCTGCTATGCTGTTCCTCGCAGTTGGAGTTGTTACAGCTGCTAAATATATTAGTAATTGTATTTAATAAAAATATAATATTATGTTTTGATATATTTTTTATAAAAATGTTTCCTAAAATCTGATATATATTTTCAACTTACCAAATATATAGGATTTCATTAAATCTTCAAAATGATAAGAATAAAAGTTTGTATGAGGAATAATCAACATCATTTTGATTATTATCTCCATGATTGTTTTGTTAGTAATGTTATGCATTCAGCTTATGCTAGTACTCAATGTTTTTAGTGTTATTTTGATATGGCAAAATTTCAAAAAATCAAGTGGAATCATGAAGATATTGTTTTGTGTTTAGATCATTCAAGAAATTTTTGATGTATAAAATAATGATCTGGTAGCATTTCATTCATTTTTATTAATGTGGAATGGAATACAAAATCAATGACCATCGATGTATCAGGAAAATCGATGAAATTGAATTCGAAGAAGAAGACCCAAGTTATATGACAGAATCTGCAATTTCTACATTAATAAATCATTATGAAAATCTACAAAATTACTATCAACAGAATAATATTGAAAATATCATAAAAACACTTAAAGAAATGTCTTATCTTTCGATAAATCTACAAATTCCAGAATCTCTATTTGAAAACACTGATTTATTTTCAATATCACTCCTGATTGATAATTTCAACAACAATTTAGAGATCATTATTGATATATTTAAGTTTTTATACAATGTTCTTAAAAGTAATCCGAATTTAATTCAATATTTTATCGAATATTATTGCCATATTCATATAAATGAACTAATTTACAATAGTAATCAAGAATTATCATATTATCCTCAATTATTTATTATATACTTAATAGAACAAAACGAATACTTCCCAATTAGTTTAATAATTTCTGATTTTCCGTTTGAAACAATGTTTGAGCTCATAAGCAAAGGAGCATATGTGCAATTTTCATTAAATTTGATCAAACTATTAACAAAATATAATCAATTCGATCGAGAAATCTTTCAAATCTATCAATTTTTACCAACAATTTTAAATGGATCAGATAAACTAAATATTACGAATTCCCTTTGGATTCTTGTAAATTCCATCAAGTTTATTCCACAAGAACTCAAAAATTATATAGATGATAGGTTAATTGAGGCCATAAGTGTTCAATACCACAATATTTCTATGGACAATCAAGATGATAGCCAATTAGTGTTTTATATCATAAGATATCTTATAGAATTTTTTGATTTTAGATTTGATCCAAGTGTTTTAATTGAATTTGCCTTTAACGATTCAGATTCTCAAGTATCTGCAGTATATACATTATCAACTTATATCAAATATGTAAAAGAAATCAACGTTCAATTATTTGAGAATATTGAGTATATTGTTTCGGAATTGAACTCCTCTGAGACTCAATTAAAAGGAGCATTCTGCAATTTATTGTTAGAATGGATATTATTGTTGCCGTCATCAGATATAAATTTATTGATGAATTTTGACTGCTTTTCTGATATTATAACAACACTGTTCGATATATATGTAGTAGATGATGTTAAGATGAGCATTAAAATTATTGAAGGCGTTCAAAAACTCCTAGAAATTGCAATTTTATCTTCAAACCAAGGAGCAATAGAAATTATAATGAACAACTTTGATATAGATAGCGTAAGAAGTTCAAATATTGAAGAAAATCAAGAATTTGAAAGAATTATTGAAAATTATTGCGATTTTATTCATTCTCACTTTGACAATTAGTTCGGTTGATTGACCATATGCATTAGTTGTCTTGTTTTTAATAAATTTGTTTGTAAACCCAAAAATTTAAAATTTATGAAAAATTATTTCATATAAAGTTAGGATGTTTTTGAAAAAATCGTTTATTTGTAATGTAGTTTTAAAAAGCAAGTAGATTTTAATAGCTATATCAGAAGTAAGAAAATCATATTTAGATTTACTCCTTTGGAATTGGGATTTCGCCGGAAGCAATCTTCTTCTGGACTTCCTTTGGATCCATGCCATCAACATGAGCGCCCATAGCCTGAGCTGTGCCAAGAACTTCCTTGACTGTGCCAGCAAGTGTGCGAGCGCAGGACTTTGGTCTCATTGTACGAGCGATATCGATGATTGTATCAAGGGAAAGAGAGCCAGAGTGCTTGACAGCCTTTACTTTCTTACGATCACGATGTGGCTCATTGAGAGCAGCGATGAGGAGTGTAGATGTTGAGTTTTCAACTTCGACCTTGAACTCACGGTTCTGGACGGTGATCTTAACTGTAGCACGGAAGCCTTTGTATTTTTCTGTAGCCTTAGCGACTTCTTGAGCAACCTTTGGAGCTGGGACACCGAGAGGACCAAGCTTTGGTGCAAGCTTTGATGTGACACCGGTTTCACCACCCCAAACACGGCACTTGATGATAACAGCCTGATCAGCCATTCGAAAAGGCCAAACCGTTCTATCGTTCAAATTTAAAATCTCTAAAATGAGCAACCTAAATTATCTTCTATTTAGCATATATTTGAACTAAAAATACATTTAATGGTGTTTTAAAATCCAGATGATTAAATCGAAACTTGATTAGGCTGAATAACTACTTGGGCATTGTATTTCCGGTTAAAAGGCTCAGATACTCACCAACTTATTAATGTGTTAGTTCCTGATTTGTGAACAAGAACTCCGGGAAAAGGATTTGGTGATGCATAATTATTTTAAAAAGGTCATTAAAATAATAAAATTAATACCCAGATTTAAAATAAAATCTAACATGTGTTTTGGAATGATCCATTTTCATTTTTTTGACATAAAAAATTGTAATTTCTCTATGAATTAAACAAAAAATTACAATTTTCATAGTAAAAATGTTTGGAGTTGCTTAATTATGAATTAGTAACTAACTATATAGTTGTACAACACATGATTTTATATACGATCCCTCCAGAGAAAAATGACTATTTTGTAAAAAATTAATATAAAGGATATTGTGGATAAGAATATATCATAATAAACATTAGGACTGCTGATCTCATAGTTCATAAATATGAGCAGCTTGTTCATTTTGCATAAACTCACAAACTTCCTTATAATGAATCGCTATTTGTTTCTCACTTTCCCACGATTGAAAATTTTGATACACACAACAGAACACATTATAATAAGATGAATTAGAGCATATAAAACAATGGTGAACTCCAATGTAGATCAATCCTTGAACTCTGATTTATGCAATGAGATATAACACTAAATGAAGACATATCATATTAATCACAAAGATTACACTTTACATTTTTTTTTCAAAAAAATATAACTTGTGAAATGTTGCCATGTGCATATTAGATCTAATTGAAAAATGATTGAAGTGATCTTATTTACACTTAGGGGATTCATCAGTTTCATATATTTCTCTCTACTTCTCACAAGGAGTGGTCATATTACTACGACTCTTCAATCAAATACACAATATTCGAAAAGAAGCACGAAAAGCCCGAATACAGTTCACCAAATAGCTATTACATCTCTCTTTGCCTGTTTATTCACCTTAATGAGACAGGCGCAGTTCGTATCACAGATGAAACAAACAATAATCTTAAATTCCTCATCGATACAAGCTCATTTGATGAATGTATGCACAAGAGGGAAGAAGGTGGCTCTATATACGTAAAATTTTCAAAAGGTGAGTGTATTCAAGATCGAATTTGCAGTTTTGGCTCTAACACAAGACGACCTGGGGCTTATTGCTCTAGTTTAGTTTCATCCGCACCTTCATATAGGAATTATCTCCTTGATTCTTCAATTACTTCAAGTGGCGAAGAAAACCCAGATCAAAACATGAATATTTGTTTGATGATGGGTGAAACAAACATGAGATCAATCAATGTTTCGTATTCTAGACTACATTTGCAAAGTATCTACTCTATTTATAGTAGTTCTAGCGCAAATGCAACACTTTCAACATTTTTAAACAACACAACTACATCAGATACCTATGAAATATCTCATTCCGGGTTATCTAACTCACTTGAATTTAAAATTCTTTTTTGTAATTTCTTCCAAAATGAATGCAATCTCTTTATTTCCAGTACTTATGATCTTTATATCAATAATTGCAGTTTTAATAGAAATTACATCAATGAAAAATATTTCGATGCAAGCACTCAAATTCAAGTTAAAGGATGCTATTTTGACATTTCCAATCCAGGATTAGATGGAGATGTTGAAATAACAGAGAGTGTAAACTCTAATTATCCAGAAAATCATCATTTGTCTTCTTATAAATGTTTTGCAAAACTAAAACTTGAATTCCCAGAAAAAGGGGCAAAAACAGGAGAAAAAGAAGAAATAAAGGCCAATCGTAAACGAAATATTAAATTTAATTTCTTGGTTTGTTATATTTCTCTAATTCCTAAATAATAATTGTTCGCATTCTATTCAAAATCTTTTAATTTTGATACAATAAAACTAAGAAATTTTATCAGTGACCTGTTTGTCATCTTATGTACATCTCGGGAAGACTGGAAAACTGTGTAATAAGTTCGCGGTAGTTGGACGTTGATGATTAACATTCTTCCAACAGAATGGGATAGAACAGAATGTTCGGTTAGGATTGTTGAACATGTTCTCAGATATGGACTTGAACTCAGACGCATCGGCTGAGAAGTTATTTAAAAACAATATATAATGAGATTGTTCCCTGACTATTTACTCAACAAATCATCTCAGTTATAAATGAATAACTGTTGATGCTGAAATAAGAAGAAAGATCAGATTTATGATGAATTAACCCTTGGGTACTGAAATACAACTATGAAATGATCAAAAACAAAAAATCACCAAGTAGTGATGTTTTAATTTTATCATTAAGAATTATTTTATGAATTTTTCATTATTTTTCATTCTAATCACATGAAAATCGGGAAATATTTGAGGAATTATTGATATACACAAGTTATGTAGACTTTCTTGTTATTTACTTCTTGTTTGTGATTGTGAATGAAAGTGTTGATCACTTTCCATGTGAGATTTTGGAACAATTTTATGATTTTTTGAAAGGAAATTTTTAAAGGATGCTATGTTTATATAAAAGCAAAACGAGTTAACAAAAATTTCTCGGGCCAAACTTCAATTTAATTTTTCAAAAGTCCAAAAAAGATGACGATTATTTTTTGTCTACCGTTTTGAAATCTGTATCAGTACATGTATTTTCGCTAATATTGATTAAAAATAATTGCTCAATTTTTTATCGTATAACATTGAATTACTTCTATTCAGAAAAAAGTGACTGAATAATTTCAAAATTGAAGGACGGTCACTTTTCTATAGTCACTTTTCATAACTTCGAATATGTTCGGGCGTCATCATGCGAAATACATCAGTACATGCGTCTTTACGATTCACAACCTTCGTCTACCTGAAATAATTCAAGATGACTTCCAAGTGGAGTGGAAAAGAGCAGATAATTCTGGTCTGACAGAGCGTTCATTGTCTAATGATTCAAGAGATGTATTTTTTGAGAAACGCTTTAAATGCCCTGTTACAATGTATGTCAACAAAAAGGACAATTCCGTAAGACCAAAATTTATCAACTTCACTGTCAATCGTTTTATTCAAGGTACAACTAAAAAAGTCTTCGGCAAGTTTGAAATTGATGTTGGCGCCTTCTACAATGTAGCCCCTGTGATCAAAGAGTTCCAAGTTGAAAGCCCACACTCTAAAAAATCAACGATATTTTTATCAATTACTGTCACACCAGATAATGTTCCAAACAATGGATTATCCGAATCCTCAGACCTTACATCTGTTTCTGAAGCAATGAACTTAGCTTCTGAAAAGATTGACGATTGGGATGTTTCTGAAGCGAAGAATGAAGAAGAACAAGCTAAAATCAACGAATTCTTCGAAATGAGAGTTAATAGTAAGACTACTCAGTCTCTGGCGAGTTTCCAACACAACCGTCAATTTAAACGAACAAATAACAATGGATCTCGCATGGCTAGAGATAATTCACACTCATTGTTTACAGGTATCCCTGCATCACCTCCAAAGAACAAAATACCGAAGATCCGTCGTAAAAACGATCTGGAAAAGAATGCGACATCTCCAGTATTCCTTCTTCCTCCTTCAGACATAGAAATAAAGAAGGACAACACTGCTGAGGCAAAAGAGATCTTAAAGTCAGTTCTACAAAAACAATGGTGCTCATCTCCACTTTTACCTGATCAAATGCCGAAACCAGCTGTTGCTGTTTACGCAGCGCTTATTAATTCATTGATTTTCGATGAAGAGTCAGTACAACCAGTAATATTTGATGAAATTGTTTCTGATTTTACGAAAAGACTCAAAATTGCAATCATTATTACACGAGCAACAGATATCGATAAATTTATTACGATGATTTACCTTTATTTCCTCATCAAACGTACAGAAGGAAAAGGTTTGACACGAAGAACAACTTTCAACAAATTCCTTCTTCCTGTTTGCAGTTTCTTCATCTCTTGCATTGTTGACAGACATCTCGACCCTCTCCTTGACTTAGCAAGGCAATTAATTGCAGGAGCAGCAGATCCAGAAGTTTTAGTTCCAAGTTTCGTAGAATCAATCAAACAGATAAAGACACAAATAAGTTCTACACCTTTCTTCAACGAATTCATCGCAAAAAGAATAATTGCAGCGTTAGATGCACATATGGTTGAAATTCTTGTTTCATCTCCATTACGCTGCACATTTGGAAACTCTCTGCAGCTGAATACATTCATAACAATGATGTCTGACAAAGATATACAATTGCCATTGTTCAAAGAATCTGTTCTCATATTACAGATGGGTTCTTCAATATGTGATGACCCTACATTGGCTGATTCCATCTGTCCAAATCTTCCAAAACAGACAATTGTCAAAATTTTGTCAAATCAGCAACCAGATGACTTCATGCCGATGCCAAACGATGTAATGAAATTCGTCACAGCACATAATGTAGCAATGGACGAACAATCATCAATTCAATACAATTACAAAGGAGATTTCTCTGAAATTGAGAGTAATTTCAAGACTGACAATTGGAAGAGTACTCAGTTCGAGAAAGAGCTAATAGAACAATATTCGTTCTTGAAAGCTTATTTCGAATAATTTTATTTGATATTTTTTATTGTTTTTTTAAAAAATTAATAATTTCTGTTTGTTAAACATACTATCTTTAAGCGATTTTCAAATATTAATACTCTCATAAACCCTTTATTGTAAATTTTATTGGAATTTTCAAAATTTCATCGAAATCAGTTTTAACAATCTATCTCTATTCAAAAACACCTTTTATGAAAAATCTTTATATAGTTATGCCCGAAAATAAAAACATTTATTATAAAAATTATATTTCTTGCAGATTATGAGTAGGATTGATAGAATCTATGACTTTCTTGTTATAGTCAAAACCAAAGAAAGCAATAAATGCTAAGTCTTCAAATTCTTTGTCATTCTCTGACAAAGAATTAAAATCATTTTCTTCAGGAATTGGATCAATGGATTCAAAGTGAGATGTATCTAATTCACCTGATAATTCTGGAACACATGGAGAGTCAGAGTCATGTAAATCATCCCAATCAATTCCAGGAAAGAAAGGATGCTGTTTAATCTCTTCAAAAGTCATGCGATTCTCAGAATCTGTTAATAAACCACGCATTAAAGCTATGGCTTCCTTTGAAACAACAGGAGTTGGTGGGAAAATCAAAGATTCTTCGAAATGAATAATTTTGTTAGCAGTAAGTTGAGGATTTGATGACATGAATGGGGCATATCCATACAACATTTCAAACATTATAGCTCCAAGGGACCAAAAATCAGCATTTGGTCCATAAGATTTTTTCATTAAAACTTCTGGAGCTATATAGTCTGTTGTGCCAACAGCCGAACATACAAATCTATTATATTTTTGATGTTTATGATGTTCAACATTGATTCCAGCACATTCATGGAAAGCATCGGTAATTAAGTCAATCACTTTGACCATTGGATCGCCAAATCTATTTATCTTAGTACTTAATCCGAAATCGATCAATCTAACATGCCCATCTTTAGTTAACAACAAATTATCTGGTTTAATGTCTCTGTGAATGAATCCTTGCAAATGAACATGATGTATTGCAAGAGCTGCTTCAGCAATCAAAAATTTTGTCTCTGTTTCTGTTAAAATATTTCTATGAATCAATAAATTCATTAAATCTCCTCCTGGAAGGAATTCCATTATTAGATATAAGTGATTCTGGTCTTGAAAAGAATAATAAAGCTTAGCAGACCATGGATTATCATACTGTGTGTAAAAATCTTTTTCAACAATCGTATTCAAAATTTGATTTCTTTGAATGAGAATTCTTTTCTTAAGAACTTTCATTGCATATACATGCTGATCGGTTTTATCTTTAACGAGCCAAACTTCTCCGAATGATCCTCTTCCAATTATTTGTATTTTTTCAAATTGTTCGAGTTTAAATGTTCTCCTTGATTGGCGATTAAGTATATCATTTTGCGTAAGAATTTGAGTGTCATCGAGTTGAGAAGAACATTTTGATCTTAATTCTTTATTCCTGACTCTAATTTGCCTGTTTCTTGAAAAGTATTCTTTAAAATGTCTTTCTAAATAGTACTTAGCCATGTTCGCCTTGGCTTGCGTGATCTGAGAAGGTTGTCCCGAGATATTTTTTATTTCTATTTTTGAAATCGTATAGGGTTGAGGAAGCTTAGCTGAGTAGCTTTCATCGAGAGAAACTTTTTCATACTCCGCTATATTATCAATTGAAAACGAGCTCATTATATGATTCTGTGACTATAATAATTTATGATTTTGTTATGTGCCCACAATTTTGAATTTGACTCAAAAGTAGAAATATGAATGAATTGATAAATCAATATGAGACAAATAAGTTTATCAACATTATGATTAATAATCTATTGTCTAATACTTTGTCAAAATTACAACATTCAACCGAATCTGACTTATTGTATAAAATTGACTGTCGTCTGAATTTTAGAACATGAATTTGCATGAACTCTTATAACCAATCCAAGTCTTGAAATATATGCTTCGAATCCCGTCAGTAATTTCCGAATTTATTTCTTTGACAGGAAATTGAATTTCTCTATGCGATTTATACACTCCATTATGATTTAAGCACATTGAATTTTCTCTATAAATGTAATCAAACGAGCCTATAAAGAATGATTATTTGCTCTGATTATGAGATTTTGCTCATGATAAAGTTAGTTAATGAAACCATAATAGATGCGCATAGTCTTTGAATACGCTTACATAACAATATCCAACTTATCATTAAAATAAATACAAGGCTAAAGCTCTGATCATAATTTTACTTTTCGGAAATCCAATTGAAGTGATACTCCGCGTGAATAATCTCTAGTAAATGTACTTTTCATTCATCTCTTTCGACTCATTTCTTCTATAACACATACATTTTGTCTATTCCATTTCAATTTCGAGTAGGGGTAATTTTAGCTAAAAGTGACACACCTGTAAAAAGTGACACACCCATGAAGGGTGTGATTACCGATCGGTAATTTCGACAGTTTAGAATTTAAAATTTTTTATGGAACTGTTGCGAGTTTCATAAAGAATTTAAGGAATATAAGCAAAGATTTGAATCAAAATCTTAGACCTAAGCCGCTCGATTCGCTCGCGGCTTCCGCGAATTACAGATCAGCAAAGATTTGAATCAAAATCTTCGAACTAAGCCGATCGCTTCGCTCGCGGCTTTCTTTATTATTTTAAATTTGCATATTTCCATCAAAAGTTCATAAGGTAAAAAATTTCGTTTATTTTTACTAAGAAAAAAAAGGTTTTTGATAATAAATTTATTTTATTTCGAAAAAGTAGCAATAATCGTAAAAGGGTATTGATAGGCTTGCTAAAGTAACTAATTTTAGCTGTCAAATACTTTTGTATTTTGAAGTAAATTAGTATAAATTTGTTTTTACTTTTATTTCGAAAAAGTAACAATAATCGTAAAAGGGTATTGATAGGCTTGCTAAAGTAACTAATTTTAGCTGTCAAATACTTTTGTATTTTGAAGTAAATTAGTATAAATTTGTTTTTACTTTTATTTCGAAAAAGTAACAATAATCGTAAAAGGGTATTGATAGGCTTGCTAAAGTAACTAATTTTAGCTGTCAAATACTTTTGTATTTTGAAGTAAATTAGTATAAATTTGTTTTTACTTTTATTTCGAAAAAGTAACAATAATCGTAAAAGGGTATTGATAGGCTTGCTAAAGTAACTAATTTTAGCTGTCAAATACTTTTGTATTTTGAAGTAAATTAGTATAAATTTGATATTATTTTAGCTCCCTTTGAAAACCTCAATTTTCCATACAGAGGGAACGGGAATAGCATCCAATATTCCCTGAGAATGGTTGCGCATTCTCAGTTCCCTCTATATTTCGAACGAAGCTCTCATCGGTCTTTTTTTTGAATACTAAACGTTTTTTTTTTCCTGTCACTTTTAGCTAAAATTTGGGTTTGCCTTGAAGTGATACTCCGCGTGAATAATCTCTAGTAAATGTACTTTTCATTCATCTCTTTCGACTCATTTCTTCTATAACACATACATTTTGTCTATTCCGTTTCAATTTCTATCCTCATAAAACTTTACTTAAGCCCCTTTCATTTGTTTACATATAATATGATTATATATGCCAAATAAACTAATATTGAAAATTGAGAACATTATTTTGTAAACTATAGAAACCTATCGATAAAAGAGTAAAACTTATGATATCTTTGATAAAATAGAAATTTGATTTTTTGTTATGTAAAATTATAAAATAAATTCAAAAAAATCAACTTATGTTTAGGGCGTTTCGTAAAGGGAAGGGACCTGAAGATCCAAAATTACAACTATGGATCAAATGGTTCACAACCGAGCCCCCGAAAAATTCGAGCGTCCTAAATCAGTACCCTTTGCTGCTAGATTTTTATGATAGAATCCCAAACAAATCAATAACAAATAAGCAGATAAAAGAATGCCCTCAGGATCATCAAGAGGAATTTTTTGCAGATCTATTTGAACTCAACACGGAAATTTCGCCGGTCTTAAATGATCTTCCTCAGGTATTTTCATTCTGTATGTCGCCTGAAGTCAAATCAGAGAAAATCATGCAGTTATTTATGCCATACATGTTCCGTACTTTTATCAAAATCTCGTATCGATTTTCAAAAATTTTTCAAGAAGCTTTTAAGGGTGATGAACAAATGCAAAGACAACTAAATATGATAACAAATGTCATTCCTATTGCGTTTTCTATGCCAAAAGAATTTGCCGCCGAATCATTTTTTCTATTCAATAATGTACTAAACATTATGATAGAGTTATTTGAAAGGAAATCTCCACAAATATTGACATATTTTAATTCGAACTACTTATCAAGAGTTCTCCACATCTGCATTGATTTTATCAAAAATACAAAAGACTTCGAGCAATATCATTTTAACATATATCATTATTCGGTCCAGTACTACAACTTCTGGGCGGAGAACTACATGAATGACTGCTTTGGCAACCTACAAATGCACGATTTACAAATTTCTCTCAATACGTTAGTTGCATCAGGGAAAAACGATCTCATTAATAAATACATCTCAAAGCTATTAACTGTTGTCGAAAAATCCTTGATTTTACTAAGTTTCGTCTTTTTACATACATCAACGAAAATTGACCAAGAGAAATGCTTTGCTCTTGGCAAAACCATACTGGGATTCTTTAAATTCATGATATCTCTCGGTCCAGAAGTCGAATCAAAGATTTGGAGTAATGATTCAACTCAATTCTTAATTGTTTTCATCGGATGGACAATTAACATCTCTCCTATCATTGAAGAACTTCCAACATTCAGTTATGATCAAAAAGAGTTCGAACTTGTTAAAGATTACGCAAAGGTTAAAGAAAAAACGGTTTGTTCACCTAATTTTTCTTTTGTTGAACAGAAGACTTTCCAATTACCAATCTTTCTGCATAGTTTAGAAAGCACATACAACGAAAATGATCCGAAACCATGTGTTTATTTCTCACCAAGTCATTCATTGATCTCAGAAAACTCTAAGTTAAACGACTTGTCACGTATCCTTGTCGAATTGACACATTACAAACTTGGTCATGAATTTATCAACGTCATCATGTCAAACTCATTAAAGTTTACTAAACAAATCTGTGATCAGAAACTTTTCCAAGACTCAATCACTATTGGTCCAGAATTACTTTCATTGACACTTAATTTTTACATCATTGACTTACTTATTCTTTGTGACCACAACAAAGTTGCACTTGCACTTGATAATGTTGATGGTTTCCGTATCCTTTCTAACTCTCCTGTCTTCAACATTCATTATAACCTTTGGTCATCAAGTCCAGAAAACAACGTTTTGAACTTATTCAGTATTCTCAAGAAATCACTTTTCCAGATGATGAACGTTATATGTGTTGATTGTCCTAAATATGCAGTTACGATCTTTGGACATGTTTCAGAACTTTTATCCGAATCAGCACCAGAAATCGTTGACGACGTCATCTCATTTGCTATCAATCTTTTCAAGATGGATCCGAAACGATTCATCAACATCCTTTCTAACACAAACTTCCTTTCTGTTCTTATCAAATCTATGTATTCACTCCAAACATTCCATATTTCTATGGATTTAGATGATAAATACAAATCATTTTCAGCCAAGATTTCATTAACAAGAACTAATGCACTTACATTCATTGATACATTGATTCGAATCGAATGTTCGAAATATTATCTCTTTTCACGAGAAGAATTTGTTTCATTAATTTTCCATTTTTTATTCGAAAAACCAGTTCAAGACTTTTCTCTTGCATGTCTTAGTAAAGGTCTGTTTTTGGACTCCTCTAAATTTAATACATCACAAACACATGTTCCAACAGACTACATCTTCTCAAACTTAGCTTCACTGTTTCGTAAATCAACACAACATATCAATGAACCAGACTATTACGATTTAGTTTGTTCTATTTTGCGGTTATTAAAAGATGCGTTTACAACGAATAAGAAGTCATTAATTGGTGCAGCAGAAACATCCCAATACATGACCGAGATTAGTATTGTTTGCAAGAATATCAGTGTTTTCAAGAAACGTCGAAGTATGACAAATTTAATCTTAGAAACATTCATTCCACTTACGTTCGACAACGCTCGGATGCGATCATTGTTAGTTAAAGAACCAATGAAGAACATCACAGCATCATTAGTTGACCAAAAAGTCAAACAAGAAACAGTTGATTTACTTTTACAACTTGTTTGCGAAATTCCTATTGTCAACATGAGTTGTACAAGTAACATCGAGATCAAGAACCAAAAGATTATTCCATATCTTCACGAGATCATCAAACATTTGCCTGTCCACACGAAAGTTTTCCAATTTATCTACCAAATTGTTGAAAACTCAGTTACAAACAAACTTCAAGTTTACAAATCCAAATTACCTATCACAATCCTTCAGTACATCTCATCATTCGACAGTTCTATGTCTATCACTGACAAGCAACAAATGTCTATTGATATTTTGATGAAATTGTTTTCGAGTGTTTCTGTTTTTGCATTCAAATGGAAGACTCTTTTTGAACTTCTTAAAATCATTCAACCTCGTAACGAAATGCGAATGTGGTTTACTGATTTACTTGTTACAAACATCAGTACTATTTTGTCTACAATAACACCAAAAACACCACAATCATTTATTTCATTCCATGGCAAACACAGTGGTTTGTTTTTACCACGAATTCCAACACATTTCATCAACAAAGGATTCACATTATTGCTTCGATTTGAACTTTCTAGTAACTATCTTCAAGGTGGTAATCATCAACCACGATTGTTTTCAATGAAGAACATCAACGGCAAAACACTTGAAATCTATTTCGAAGACAACAGATTAGTTGTTACATACAACGCCATCAAGACACTTGGCATCCACGAGACAACTATCGAACTTTCACCACACACGTGGTATCACATTGGTGTTTCATTAGAACGTCGTTTGTTGAAGTTATATGTTCTTGGTAATCTTTGTGATACATATGAAATCACAGGAATGAAATTCGAATCAGACATCGAATCTATGACTATTGGTAACACAATATTATCAGAGCTTAAATATGAAGAACCATTAATTGCAAACCTTTCATGCATGTACATGTTTTCAACCGCTCTTTCAGCAGAGACAATCAAAATGATGTCCGATCTTCCTCTTGATTTTGTTTACGGATTCCATCCAATATTACAGAAACTTTTCCCAAACTTACCATCATCACTTTTCACTGAACAAATTTCAGATTCTATGTTTGCATGTTATAATTCACGATTTGCATTGAACAACATCTGTGTCAACAACTCGAAGAAAGACATCGGTAACGCAAAAGTTATTGGTGATGTTTATTCATTTTCTACATCACTTTGCGATGTTTTGTTGAATCTTGGTGGTTTGAAAACATTTTTACCATTGTTCAGCGAAGTCGAACTTCCAGTTTTCGATCAATACGAACAAGATTCAAGTAGATTTTTAGTTCATTTGATTGAGATGGTTGTTAATTTCTGCAACACATCTGCTGAGATCAAAACTGATTTCTTTGAAGATGATGGTTTGAAGTGCATTGCATTCTTACTTTCTAAGATGAATCCAGAGACTATAACTGAAAATTTGATCACAAATTTACAAAAACTATTTGACAAACTTTCTAACAAGAAATACATCAAACTTATGATTGAAGACATCTGGTTCAATTATTTCTTGATTGGATTACAGAGTTCAACAATTAAACTTTGTTTCATCAAAGTTTGTTCTGATTTAATTCATGGTGTTTACTCCAAATTAGTTTCTGAAGTTGTTAATGTTTGTCGATTGATGTTATTTACTATTTCCGAAAAAGACGAAAACGTTCGTAAATCACTATGGAAAGTTATTCGTTCAGCAAGCAAAATCAAGTTGACATGGGAAGACAAAGAGATGTTCTTCAACCTTTGTTTCAGCTTAAACATCTCACAGATGCGTATCGAATTGATGTATGTTTTGTATAACTTATGTGTTAAAAACTATCATGGTATTTGCGACAAATTTGTTGCATTTGGTTTTTACACACCATTTGTTAGTATGATGTCCAGTGATAGTGAAGAACTTCGTATCATCTCATTCAAGTTCATGCTTCTCATCAAGACATTGGAAGACACCGGTGTTATTACACGTCAAAGTTCCATTTGTTTTGAAGATTCATTTTTGAAAGTTATTTACATTTACAATCCAGAAAACATCACAGAGAGTACATGGTCCGTTGCAACACAAGCATTCCTTGATTCTCCTTCATATCAAACTGCCTTGATTCCATATATTTCATTTATTTCACAGTTCTACAAATGGTCACGCATTGAAAAGTTCTTCAACACAATCGACCAAAATACAATGACAGTCACATCTCCTATTTTACATTCATTTAGTAAATGCGAGATTTGGTATTTTTGGATATTCTACACTATGGTCAATGCTAGTTATCCAGAATACAATGTTAACAACAACTCTGTTTTTCTTGCTATTTATTCGAAAGTTTTGATTTATTTCATCAAAAAACAATATTGGGACAAATTTTATGAATTCGAAGCGTTTTTCCTTGATCTTGAGAAAACAGTTAAACTTAACACACCATTTATCTTGAAATACATTTACCACAAACTTCTTAAATTATTACAACTTTTCTCAACAGTTTCAAATGAAGAAATCAATTTTGTTTTTACAGAAATTTTTGAATATTTGTTTTATATTCCAGACACAGAAATTTTCTACAACAATGTTTCATTGAAATATTGTATGGGCGAAAGTCTTGAAGAACCACTTACATCTGTTATTGACTCACAAACACCATGTATCGACATCTTATCACAAATTTGTTCTAGTTGCATGACACACAAGGTTAATTTCTCCGTTCGTATCGATCCACGTCGTGGTGGTACTATTCCATTAAGTGGCCAAGTTGTTAATCCTATCAAATGGTTGGACATCAAAGTTGCACGTCAATTAATTGGTTTCATGACTAAATTCGCTAATCTTCGCGATGGAACATACAAAGTTCAAAACAGGAAGATCAAATACTCAGAAATCATTTCATTCATGCTTGGTTTCATCATTCAATCATCACCATCAAAGATCACAAAAATCTCCGGCTTTTTGAAATCGTTGGATTTCGACACAGAAACTAACTTCGAAATTTTCTCATATTGCAGTATTTGTGCTATCCGAACATACCAAAAGGATGCATCGTACCGTAAACAAGTTAATGATTTACTTATTGGATGCAAGTCAATCATCTCCAAAGTTATTTTAAATGGTCAACCACTTGAAGTTCACAACATTTTGGAAGATTCCGATATTATGTGCAAAATCTTTGAAAGCACAAAAGATATTATTTTCAATTTAGAGCAAACACTTGAAGACAACAAATTAGATATTTCGAAACAGACATATTTAGATCAAGTCTACCAGAAGTCTAAGAAAACACGAGAAATCATTGTTCAAACACCACACTTTTTGTCAGACAATGTTCTTAAAAATGTTTTGCGTAAGAAAGAAGAATTCAAACAACAAATTATTTCACATTCGATTTCATGCATGAAATCACACGCAAATCTTTTCAAAGACTTGAAATCTAATGGTGGTCCATGGTCTACTACAGGCGAAATCAAACATTGGAAAGTTTCTAAAGAACTTGATGACCAATATCGACAAATTTTCATGCGTCCTAATCTTAAATTTGATATACACATGAAAGCATCATTGATGCGTGATGGCACTACTGCTGAAGCTGCGCAATCTAAGTACGAACGATGGCTTGACGCCAACAAGATCAACATTATTGCAGAAGACGAAGAAGTTTCACAACAAGAAGATGAAGAAACTACAGAAACAACAGAACACCGTGATTTCTCATTCTTCACAACAGCACAAATGATCACAATCAAGAAAACATATGAAGGTACATTTTATGTTAATAAGAACGAACTTAGTTTCAACGATGACAACAAGAAATCAGTTACAATCAAACTCTCAGATCTTAAGATGGTTTTACACAGATCTTATTTGCACATTGATTCCGGTCTTGAGTTCTTCATGAAGAACAACAAATCAGTCTTCATCTATTTTCCTAAAGGCGACAGGAACAAAGTTCTTAAACACTTGAAGCACTCCAAACTTCATGATATCGAAATCCTTCAGTACAAGAACAACATCCGTGAGTGGATCGACAAATCTACATACGACTGGCAGAAAGGTTTGTTGTCTAACTACGAATACTTGATGAAACTTAATTTGTTTTCAGGTCGTTCATTCAATGATTTAAGTCAATATCCAATCTTCCCATGGGTTTTGAGCAACTACACAAGCGAAAGTATCGATCTTAATGATCCTAACAACTACCGCGATTTCAGTAAACCAGTTGGTGCATTCAATCAACAACGTCTTGAAAATCTTCAAGAATTGTTAGCCGAATACGATGATGATGCCGTTGATAAATGTTTGTATCGATTCCATTATTCTACTGCTTTCTATGTTGTCCACTTCCTTGTTCGTGTTGAACCATACACAAGTATCCACATCGAGTTACAAGATAACATGTTCGACAATCCAAACCGAACATTCCGATCTATTCCATTCTGTTGGAAGAATATTACATCTACAGCACCAGACTTCCGTGAACTTATTCCACAGTTTTTCAGTCTTCCAGAGATGTTGATTAACCAGAACAAATTCGATTTAGGCAGTACACAAGATGGCAAACAAGTTAATGATGTTGAATTACCACCATGGGCTAAATCAGCAGCTGAATTCATCCAAATCAACCGTAATGCATTGGAATCCAAATATGTTAGTGAACACTTGCATTTATGGATTGATTTGATCTTCGGCTACAAACAGACAGGTAAAGAAGCCATCTTGGCTAACAACACATTCCATAAATACTGTTACCCATCATCAATCACTAAAGAAGTTCTTAAGAATCCAAATGAACTCAAAACAATCCAAATTTACGCATCTAATTCAGGTATTGTTCCTCGCCAAATCTTCAATTATCCACATCCTAAGCGTATCTACACTCGTCAGATGTCTATCACTCGTCTTATGCTTTTAGGTACTAAACTTTGTTGGAACATTCTTATGAAATTCAAATCACCAGTTGTTTTCATCGGTCAATCTAATAATTCCATTCCAATATTGACCGCACAAAGTGATTTCCTTTCTATTCCTTTGTCATCCAAATGGCGAAGTTCAGTTCAAGACAACAGTATCAAACAAGTCCCTCTTGCAACAATCAAGAAATATGTTACATTGCCAGATACAGAACATAATTTCTTTGTTATCACAAGTCGTAGTTTCGAATACATCCAAGAAAGTTGTTTATTTGTTGCATCATCTCCATGGGATTCCACATTTCATGTCTTCAAAGTTGAATCGAATTCAGCACATTACATTTACTCACAGCGTCAGAACAGCTCATTGATCTCCGGTGTTACAAGCAGCCACAAGAAAGGTTTGATTGTCACTCGTTGGCAAGATTCATCTATTTCCGTTTGGGATGTTGAGAAACCACAACAAAACTGTTTCCTTTACCGAATTCAACCACATTTGACATCATTAGTTGATGTTGATGTTTGTTCTAACTTGAACATCATTGTTTCACTTGACAAGTCACGTACTGTTATCATGACTAAACTTTCAAGTGGTCATTACATGCGTCATTTCATTGTTGAAGGTAATGATACATTGAAGAACTTGTTGATTGTTTCAGCCGGCTACATCATCATTGCAAGCGAATCATCAACTAATGGTCGTTTTACAAGCACATTACGATGCTACACATTCAACTCCATTCTTTTGAAGACATTTTCATATGAATCAACATTGTCATGTCTTGCATGTATCAAATCATCAACATCTCCAATGCTTGTTGCATCATTTTCGGATGGCCATTTCTCATTGATCGAAATTCCACAGATGCTTGAAATCATTTCTACTAAGAAATTCACGATGACAAACATTGTTTATAACGAAGAACATAACTGTTTATTTGCATCTGATTCTAATGGCAACTTATTATATTTAGACCTTTAATTTTTATTATTTTATTCTTTATTATTTTGTATATATTTTATTCTTTTGTTTATTTATGGTTTCACTAAATCTATTTATTTTACAAATTCCTGGTTATTGTTTTTATTATTCATCTTTAAGGATGAATTCGTTAAAATTTTATTGTTGATTAGAAGATGTTGTTTATATCAAAATTTATTTAGGAAAAATAAAAACAAAACAAACGAAGATATTAAATTTATTTTTTCTTTTGAAGTTAATTTTAATTTCTTCTTTTTCTTCTGTTTCTGCCTTTTTTTCTTCTGGAAATTCTAGTTTTAGTTTTGCAAAACATAAACCTGAAGACAAATGATAGTTTTCTGGATAAATTGAACCTAATTCTTCTGTAATTATGACGTTTCCGATTTTAATAGGATCTGAGATGTCAAAATAACATCCTTTAACTATAATTTGTTTGGAGTCTGTGGAAAAGTATCTTTCATTAATATTATTTTTATTAAAACTGCAATTATTGATAAAGAGATCATGAAAACTGATAATAAAGTAATTGCATTCATTTTCAAAGAAATTACAAAAAAGAATTTTAAATTCAAGTGAATCAGATAATGCTGTAACATATATTTCATAAATATCTTCAAATGTAGTTGTGTTGTTTGAAAATGTTGAAAGCGTTACATTTGAGTTAGAACTATATACAACATTGTAAATACTATCGTAATAAAGTTTTGAGTTTGAAATATTGATTGATTTCATATTTATTTCCCCACTGTACAAACAAATATTATCGTTTTCATCTGGATTTTCTTGGCCACTTGAAGTAATGGTTGAATCAAGGAGATAATTCTTATTTGGAAATTCATCTGAAACTTCAATATAGCAATATGCACCTGGATTGACCGTGTTGGAGCCAAAGCTGCAGATTCTGTCTTGAACACATTCACCTTTAGAACAACTCACGTATAAAGAGCCACCTTCTTCACTCTTGTGCATACATTTGTCAAATGAGCTTGTATCAATGAGGAATTTGAGATTTTTGCCAGTTCCTTCTGTGAAACGCACTGCACAAACTAAAGAAAGAGAAATGTAATAACTATTTGGTGAACTATATTCGAATTTTTGATGCTTCTTTTCGAATGTTGTGTATTTGATTGATGATTCGAAGAAGTCTTCCCATTCCTTGTGAGAAATAGAGAGAAATATACGGAATTGATGAATATTCTAAGCGAATATATTATCACTTCAATCATCATTTCAATCATTCTTTACTTGGAATGAAAATAGAAATATCAATATTTCGAAAGCTTTAAATTTTTTTTATGAAAATATTTGTAAATTGTAAAATTTCGGATTAATAGAATACAACAATGCATCATTTTGTATTATAACTTATTTCCCCTATAGATGCACGACGATAGCCATAATTATGGCGACCCGCTCGCCGAGCACCTTTTGACGTTCGCGCGTTAGGGTTGTACAAACTGGCACAATTTTGCGGGCCGCCTGCCAGGAGCTGGCACGCGGCCAAAATCAAAAAAGTGGCCAAAAATCGGGCCTCGTGGCGTGGAAAGGGTGGAGGTCGGAGAGTTAAGATCTGGTTAGTAAGGTAGTAATGAGAGTTAAGATCTGGTTAGTAAGGTAGTAATGAGAGTTAAGATCTGGTTAGTAAGGTAGTAATGAGAGTTAAGATCTGGTTAGTAAGGTAGTAATGAGAGTTAAGATCTGGTTAGTAAGGTAGTAATGAGAGTTAAGATCTGGTTAGTAAGGTAGTAATGAGAGTTAAGATCTGGTTAGTAAGGTAGTAATGAGAGTTAAGATCTGGTTAGTAAGGTAGTAATGAGAGTTAAGATCTGGTTAGTAAGGTAGTAATGAGAGTTAAGATCTGGTTAGTAAGGTAGTAATGAGAGTTAAGATCTGGTTAGTAAGGTAGTAATGAGAGTTAAGATCTGGTTAGTAAGGTAGTAATGAGAGATCTGCGGGCAGTAATGATACATCTATGAGTACATAACTAAAACCTGAGTTCTATGAGCGAAATCTGAGAGCTAAAAGCCGAGAGATCTAAGGTAAGTAATGAGAGAAGAGAATTTGAAATTTTACAAAATACGTTTACTCATACAAAATAATTCGCATTCTTTTATAACGAATCTCAATGCCAATTAATACATAAAACAGATTTTAGCAATCAATTGCAAGATTTAGAAAGATTTTATTTATAATCTCAGCCAAATTAACAAATATTTTATTGATTTCGTAAAAATAGCAATAAAACATAAAAATATGACATTCTATTTATAGATCCAAGGTGATGTGATTTTTGCATCCCTGGGATGGACGATACACCCAAAGTGTCACCTTTTTAGGATAACATGAATTTGAAATATCATGAGAGTTCTGCAAACCATATGCACAATATCTATTCAGCCTGACTTCTTGTATATATGAGTTAGACTTCTTAAATATTGTGCTTGAGGCGATATAAGCATTTCCGAGATTACCATCGTGCTCTATAGTATGCTACTTCTCCCTGGTTCTAGCTCAGTTCCAAGGATATTGGCGTTCAAGGATTTGGCAAGGTCCTTCCGAATTCTCTCATTCGATGAGAGATTTCGGAAGAATCTTGCCTTAAAGTACTCCAACTCTTGTTCTTTTGTTCCTAAATAGTGAGAAAAGTTATTTGACTACTTAAGGTAGAGATTATCCGAGGTCCCTCATTTGATGAGAGGCCTCGGATAATCTCTGCCTTAAAATTGTACACTTGTAGTCCATGAGAGTGTAAGTATACATTGATAGGACAGCTTTCTTCTGAAGTCTTAGATTTGATGAGAACCTCAGAAGAAAACTGTCCTATTTTATAGTAAAAGGAGTTTCAGGAGCTCCAAAACTCCCTTTCGTAAGGATTAGGAGCTTTGGAGCTCCTGGTTCGTAGATGTGTTTCGCATCTTTCATCAGCAAAGGACATTTACCATCTGGGACTCTGTTGATGGAGACTCAGGAGCTCCAAAGCTCCCTTTAGTAAGGATTAGAAGCTTTGAAGCTCCTGGTTCGTAGACGTGTTTCGCATCTTTCATCAGAAGAGGCCCAAATGGTAAATAGCCTCTGCTGATGAGCTTCAGGAGCTCCAAGGCTCCCTCTCGTAACGATTAGGAGCTTTGTAGCTCCTGAAGGTAAGGTAGGATTGCTCTGATCTCTAATCAGTAGATGCCATGCCTCATTATGAACTCTACTGACAAGAGATCAAGAGCTCCAAGGACTCCCTTTTGAGTTAGTGGCGTTCTCACCATTTAGTAGGATTGCTGATCCTACTAATGAAGTGATCACTTAGTATACGTTTTGAATAAATTGAATTTTTTTTAGAATTTAGTATTTTTTATAGACATCATATGTATATTATAAATACATAAATATATTCTTTAATTCAAAAAATTCAATTCGGTTTTGGGATGGGTATCCCAGCCCCAAGTATTCAATTTTATTCAATTTTTTAAGAATTTTGGGTTGGGATGCCCAGACCAAAACAAGCTTTATATTTTGATGTGTAGATACGTATGTGTGCATCATTGTTGTGTTATATGTTATGTTTTTAATGAAAAAAAAATCTGATTCAAAAAAATTATCACTAATTAGTTGATAATATAAAGAAAAAATAGATAAATTGTATGTTTTGAGAGTATTTATCTACATTCACTCATATGAATTTCATTAAATAGTGTCTTTTTACTCCCAAATTTATTTTGAATTATTGAAATTAAAGAAAAAAAATTAGAAAAATTTCTCGAAATTTTTATTTTCAAAAAAAATTTGGATTTTATATTGAAAACTGACACTGGGAGGACGATAGGGCTGGGATTGGAGATACCCCGCTCACTTGGGAAAAATACGGATCTATAATTCTATTTTTCCAAAAAAATTTCAAAAATCATTTTTTAACATGAAATTTATATTTTTTAATTTTTTTTTTAAATTTTGAATTTTTTTTTGGAATTTTCAACCATGTCAAAAGTCGGGATCTACAAATGTATTCTCTTTGACATAGGATAAAAACATCCTTTCTTATAATTTCATTGTAAAATAAAATTTTCTTAAATTTATTGAATCCAAACTCAACTTTGCAACATTTTATTATCATAAAAACTAAGAAACATCAGGTAAACTTCAATTTGGAGAGCTTAAAATCATATCTAAATTGAAAAATAAGGGGAAAAAAATTGTAAAAAAAAATCTCATTAGATGGGGCAAAAAGTGACTTTTTTAATGTGTTTTTTAAAAAAATCGTGCCAGCTGGCCAAAAAAGGTGTGCCAGCAGGCGTGCCAGTTTGTACAACCCTATCGCGCGTTCGCGCTCGCAACGATAGAGAGTTAAAGTAAAAATAATAAATTTTCTATGAAAAAATTATAAATTTGAATTTTTTTGAAAGAAAAATATTAAAAACAAAGAGGACTTTATCGATATAATATCATCAATTATACATACTCTATTTTAGGGATGCGTTAAACACGCCATTTGACCGGGCGTACATTTTTTTGTTCGCCCAAAAATTTCGCCATTTGAGAAATTCAAAAATTAAAAATAAAATTTTAATCTTGATTTTTTTATTTTCGTGATTTTTTTGAAACTTACATAAGCGATGAAATACTTTTTTTAAGTAATCGTTTATTATATATAAATATATCTTAATAAATTTAATTCCTTAAGGTAGAGCGTGTTCAAATTTAAAATCTCATACAATATTTTCTTAATGGCGTATTTTTCTGAGGTCGCCCAAATAAAGGCGAATTCAAAATTGAGAACTCCAAGGCGTATGGCGAGTATTCAAAAAGTACGTCACTTACAAAATATTGAATGTGGATTATCAATTTTTTGGCGTGTTCAATTTCAAATTTTGATATTTATGTTTATTTTATTCAGTATAATGCTAAGAATTAAAATATAAAATTCATAGAATTTTTTCTTTGAAAATATTTTACATTTTTATTAGACCACTCCTAGACTAGTCATCAGGTTATCCTCAGATCATCCTCAGACTACTCCTTATCAGATTACTCATCATCCTCAGACTACTCCTTAGACCCCTCCTCATCAGACTACTCCTCAGATCTTCCTCATAAGACTCCTCCTCAGATCTTCCTCCTGAGACTACTCTTCAGACTACTCCTTAGAGTCCTCCTCATCAAACTAGTCCTGAGACTAGTCCTCAGACTACTCCTGAAACTACTCCTCAGATTATCCGCAGACTCCTCCTCAGATTATCCTCAAACTACTCCTCAGTCTAATCCTCAGACTCCTCCTCAGATTATGCTCAGATTATCCTCAGACTACTCCTCAAACTCCTCAGTCTAATCCTCAGACTCCTCCTCAGATTATGCTCAGATTATCCTCAAACTCCTCAGATTATCCTCAGATTATCCTCAAACTCCTCAGACTACTCCTCGGTCTAATCCTCAGACTCCTCCTCAGATTATCCTCAGACTACTCAAACTACTCCTCGGTCTAATCCTCAGACTCCTCCTCAGATTATCCTCAGACTACTCAGATTATCCTCAAACTCCTCAGACTACTCCTCGGTCTAATCCTCAGACTCCTCCTCAGATTATCCTCAGATTATCACTTTACATATATATATCATGGTTAGGACAAAGCATTGCGACATTGGTATATAAGAATGTTTCTGACATATAGAAATCTGGAAGAATTTAAGACCTACGACAACTTTGCTTTCGTTAGTTTGCTGAATGTGTATGGCAATAAGAGATAAGATAGAGAGGCAAAGTATGGAACAACAAATAAAAACAGCAAACTTTGAATGAAAGAGAGCAATATGACGCCTTTAGTTTGTTTTAGCAGAGTAAGGTTTCAGAATATAAACGCAAAAATGAACCCGCAATGTTTCTAAATGTAATAAAGCCAGCAATGGAGGAAGCAGTATAACTACTCCGTCAAGAGATAGAACGTATGAGAAACGGACTATGCTAGACTTAAAGAAAGATATCGGACA